CATCTTCCTAGCATATCCTTGCATCATCAACATTTTCACAAAGTCTCTGGCTCGGGTCTTCTCTATGACCCAGACCGCGGGCCTGACTCTCGCCGTCTTGGACTTTCTGATGAGCACTCTCTTGGTCATCACGGGCATTCTCATCCCCACCATTTGGGCCACGGACATCCAGGTTCTGCTTCACAGCATCATCCTGCGCATCCTCACCACCTTCAGCATCATTCACACCCGGGTCAAGTAGGTGAACGCCATCATGGCCACGACGTTGATGACGAAGACGAGGAGGACGAAGACGTTGATGAAGACGATGATGAGATCGGGGCCGATCTGGTTGGTCATGTTGTTCATCCAGGAGAGTCTTCAGGTGGCGTTGATGATCTCGTTCCGGGTGATACTCAGCATTATGCGCGCACCGCTGCATCTCGTGGCTTTCTTGTACCAGGTGGCCCTGGGGGTTTGTTGAGGCATCGAGGAGGTTTAATGGCTACATCAAGCGGCCCTGGACCTGGAGGCTCAGGTCGATTCGTTTCTGTGGCAGCTACTTCTGCCGGCTGCAGTGTAACTGCAGCCAGTGGCTGTGGTAGTGGTGGCGTAGAACAGGAGGAGGACTCAGCCGAGCATATTGAAGACATGTCTGCAGCAGCTGCGCTTGTTGCCGGAGGTGGCGCCCGGCCCTCAGCAATTTCGCGCGCCTCACTACTTTCCGGTGGCGTACCTAGGTCGTCAGCAGCTGCTGCAGTTATGCAGCATCATGCTGCGGCAGCAGCAGCAGTAGTTGCCGCCAGCAGAGCGCAAGTCAGGCCAGGCCAAGAGGTTGTGGGAGAGGATGAAGAAGAGGAAGATGTGTATGAAGAATTGCCTGATGATGATGATGACGATCTGGATGATATGGAAGACGATGAAGAAGAAGAAGAGGATATGGAGGATGTGAACTAATTGATTGGATTTCCATACATCCTTTGGCGTTACGAAGAGATGGTGGTGAAGATATTACTTCCAATTCATACAGAACACACATTACTTTTTTCCTTGATATTTTTTTAGCACCGGGTGCCTACATGCGCACATTAAATACATTCATATACACAAAACCCAGTTAAGCTTGGTTAGTGACTGGCTCTTTGTATGAGTTGGCTTAGATTACAGGTTGCGAAAGACAGATCTTCTTATCACCCTTCATTTAATCGTCTCAGAAACGCCTTATTTCCATATCGAATTTTTTCACTTCCCCCTTCCTTAAACACTATACATACATATTTGTATATGTATTTATAAAGACATCGTTACTTGCGTTTACAAACAAGGCCCCAAACCAACTTTTTTTATTTACTTTGCTATTATTTCATATGTTTTTCTGTGAATCAGTCCAAATCAAAATCCTTTACTAACTAATCTGTTTCCTCCAGTTTTCTTGTTTTCACTCTTCATTGTCATCATCATGGATGCACTATTCTGCATTACCTCTTTCTGCTCTTTGCTGCACTGATGTTTTTCTCTGCCTGTCTACATGTGTATATATTTTACGTCCTGGTTTGGTTCACTAACCATTACAGTGTATATAGGAATTTCTCTATTATCTCTCCAGTCTTATCATTTCTATCATTTCCTCAGTGTCTAAGTTTCTTTATTCAATAAAACAGATCAATTCTTAAACATTACTTTTTGGCTT